GTTTGACAATGTTTTCCCAACACTGTAGCAGGGCTATTTGTGAAACTTCCTCAAATTTGCCAGCTTTGTAGGTGCTAAAATCATACAAATGCATCCATTCTGAAATGGGCTTTATCTCTCTCTTCCCACCACTCCTAAGGTGTGACTGAGTATGCTAGAGAAGCCGGTGAAGTGCAAGTGAGACAAAGAGGCTTTTTGCCAGGTAAGGCTTTGCTGTGTGAACAACTTGGTTGCATATGGGGTTGATTTAAGTTTTTTCAGTGTGCTGATTTAAGTTTTTTCTGTGTGCCTCCTTATGATACTGCTATTTATTTGTAGGAGTAGCTGGAAAAAAGATCTTTCAATCTTTACTCTCAGGATGTAAGTCTGAATGCTGGATGAACAGAGCTGTTGGGAAGGGATCAGTCTACCAACAGCCAGAGATCAGTGCTGGGGTATAAACCGCAAAAATGCAATCAATCCACCATAACCCAAATCCTTCAAATGTACAGGCAAAATGCCAAGGTGGGTCACCCAAAGTGCCAGAGCACAGGTTGTAGTGGCCGTCAGCCAAGCTAAACAGCACACTGAAGGGCTCCAGTCTTGCAGACCAACCAGCCCACACAGTGCAAGTGCCACATGTCTACTACAAAGACTCTCAAGAAGCGTCACTAAATTCCAAAAGATCATGGGTCATGTGAAATGGACACGGTGGTAAGCTAACTTGTAACTGTCACCATGTTACCTAGATAATGCCTGCACAGATGTCTGTTAGGTCTAGGTGCAATCAATCTAGCTGAGTGCCCACTTTGGAGCTCAGCATCAGTGCCAGCTCTTGGTACTCAGAATGAACCTGTCATGAATCTTACTACCTGTGGCCTTGAAGGAGAACCTAAAGTTTAATTTTCCATGATATCATCCTGCCTAACCTTGCTCTACCCTGTCCCTCAGTTTGCTCTCTGCTCTCAGTGATTGATCTGCTCTGATCAAGAGCACATTTGGAGTATAGAGGAACTGTAGTCCAGAAGTCTGCTTTCTGCACTGTCAGTCTCTTAGAGACAATTTTGTTGTCTAACTGGGCTAACGGAGCAAGCCAGAGCAAGCAAGAGGCATGACGGAGGATGATGAGCGGCACTGCACAGGGAAGGAGTGTCCTGGTCCCAGCCACTTCCCAGACCTCACAGTGCTCTCCATCAGGCTCTGCCCCAGCATCTCTGGAATTGACACCTCCCCATTCTGACAAGGCAGAGGAAGGCTATTCATGCAGCGAGGGTAGACCTGCATGTCGAGACACCAAAGTAATTTAAAAGATGTCTTTAAAGGAGAGACAAAGCACTGCATGCTGTTTATAGGCACACCTGAGCAGGATCTTTCGCTCAAGGATTGGTGTGAAAACATGTATAAGCCATATGTTTTGAGCAGATAGCCTTCTCCTTTTTAGGTATGGATGCAATTTGGAATTTTTATAAACTTCATGAAAGGAAAATCAGGGCAACACAAAGCTATTTTTTCCTACTTAGCAGCTGGAAGTAAGGTAAATTTATCAGCTTCAGCGTGGTCCCTTCTGAACAACAGTGTCCCACAAAGAGAAAACGCAAACAAGAAATACAGTACAGCAGGACATGCTTGAAATTATCTCTGTCTTGTCTTGTGCACCTGGAAGAACAAACTTTTTGGTACAAGGCAGATTCAGTCTTCATGCTGTCTCACTCCTGGGAATTAGCTGAGGAAAAACTGTACAATATGATGAATTATTTATTAATAATTGGGATTTTATGGGTGTATCTGTGTGTGTGTGTGTGTATATGGACAGCTGCAGCTCAGCGGGACTGACAAACTAGGGCGGACTGCAGTTAGAACAAAAGTGAGTACTTCACTGGCTAAGCCACCAATTTTTTTTCTCTTTCTCCCCCTTTTCATTCTTCCATATACTCTCTATATAGCATTTCCACCCATGTCCATGTGCTAAAATATAAATTAAACCACCTACTCCCCCCCTGCCCATCTACAGAAGAATTTGTTCCATTGCAGTGGGAAGTTGCAAAGTCTATCATATCTCTAAAATGAACCCCAAAGCAAGCGTTTTATCCTCTCTCACGTAATCATCATAAGGCAGAAAATGAAATTTCCAAAACTGAAAAGCATACTGTAGAGAGCTTCAACTGCATGTCAGTTTTTACTTTGATGTATGCTATGTTTAAAAAAAAAGCTGGGAAGGGGATGGGGTAGGGAGAGGGAAAAGATGCACTGAGTGACTTCCAAGAGATTTCCTCTCTATTACTTAACTCTTTAGATAGTAGACAGAAGGAAATAATCTCTCCTTGCTGCCTGGAGTGAGAGTATTCTGAAGAGACATTGTAAGAACCTCATTTAGCACCATGGGTGGTTTCACATTCCCACTTGCATCTTAATAAAGTAAACATCACCTCGAGGTTTGCAGTGAGGCTATGATGACTTTTAAAACATTGGTAGGATCAGCTGATAAATACTTTGTTTCCTGAGGTGATTTAGGAAAGTAAGAGCTTTATCTCAGACTAGTGAACTTTGTCAGCTGGCCCAGAAGTAAGGAGAGAGTTGGGATTTATTGTGTGTGTTTATCCAGGCGCTGAGTTTAGTTTCTGAAACGACTACTGCTGTTTTTTTCCTAGGAGAGCAGAGTTTCACTCCTAAGGGTCAAGGGCCGTTGAATGTATTAATGTCTTTTTCTCTATCCCTCTCTTCTCTGTTTAGTGAGATGTTTAAGCACACATTGTACTGTGCTCAAGAAGCAGAGCCCTATGTTCCTCTCCTGGTGGTGATTGAATCCTCCCTACCTGCTTTCATCATTTGGTTACATCCTCAAAATAAGAGCTCCTTTTCTTTCACAGTTTTCCTAAACCAACTCTGTCTCTCCCAGCTCCTCTTTGCCACCTCCTATTTGCACTTACAACTACAGTCAGTGTCATCTGTGCCTGCCATCTGCTTCCAGAATATTATGAAGCTGTAATCACAGGACATTTTGAAATTTATTCATACAAATCAAAGACTTTCAGTTGCTGTCAGGGGTGGATTTAGAGCTTAGAAAGGCATAGGATTCCTGGCAAAGGCTTTCAGAAACAGCAGCTGGCAGAGAGAGGCTGCAGGAGGTTTCCCTGTCCAGTTTGGCCATCCCACCTGGCTCCTAAACTCCAACATTTCTACATTCTCAGGGCTGGCTTCAGCTGAGATGAGCTAACCGTGCCAGCAGTTAAGTGGTAAACTTGAATCTGGGTGAGGGTTAGACCAAAGTAATTTTTCACTTTTAACCCCATTTATGCCTAGTCTGAAGAAATGTATAACACAATAGTAATTTCTGTCTTGCTCCTTTTACAAATAGTCTGTAGCTCAGTATATTTTTTTCTATTCATGTTGTTTGAGGTAGGGGCTGCTTTATTAAGTCCAAGAAGTCCATATAATAGTGGCCTAATGCCTATCAAAGGCCGCTAGGTGCTACTCTAATTAATGGTAGCAGTAGTATCGGATGGTGAGCTATCTGTATCTTGGATAGCAGATGCTAAGGGTTACTCATACACTGCTCTGTTTATACTCTTAGCTTCTGGATTAATAAAAGAGCTTGTGATAAGCTATGTTTGCATTATAAGGTGGTGTGGACTGCTTCTACTGCTCTAAGAGAGGTTCTACAATGTGAAACAGCTGGTGCGAAGGACCCACATACACAACATGCACATGTCAGGGTTGTGGGGTTTTTGCTTTGGACTCTGCTCCCCTGGGTTGATTTGAGGCAGGAGTGCATTAGGTGAACTCTTGGCATGCAAATTCTAATTTGGCTTCATCCAAGGGGAGGCTGATCCATGCTCTGTGATGCAAACCAAGGTGAGGGTGATGGAGAACTGCACACTTCTTATAAAACTAAAGGGCTGATGTTTGCAGTATGCTCCACTGACTTAGAAACTATTTCAAATCAGTTTAATAATTTTTGCTTTTTCACTGTTTAATACATTTGGTGGATTGGTGTGCCTTTTAAACTGTCTCTGCTAGGTCTCCCAGTTTCTGAAAGCTCCTTCACAGTGTTCAGTGTTGTTATAGATGTCTCTAGATGAAATCAGCATTATGTGGGAAAGGCAACAGAAATTAAAAAACAGCTGTTAGATATTTCTGCAAAAACAAACCTATCCCTTGATGAATTCCTGTTTTCCCCAAGACCTGTTGAGTGCTGGAGATCCAGCCTGAGTGTAATGTGCCTGTGGCCTTAGTGAACCAAATGCACACTGCCTGTGCTGTCCGCAGCAGCAAAGCTGTTGTAGGCTCAGCTTGTAGCTGGATGCAAGCCAACTCAGGGTCCTGGAGGCTGTAGGCACAAGCCAAAGAGTTGTGGTCAAATGCTTGGCAGCTCTTAGACCACAGAAACCAAATGAATAGGAGTTCCATTTGGCTCCGTTGCCGCTACTGAGTTGATGTGTGGAATACAGAACTGTGACCTACTGATTTGCAATGGCAGCACAGCAGCTGGAGGACTGCAAAAGCAGGATGCTTTAATCCCAGGGTTTTGTGTTTTTTTTTAATTTACAGGGAGATCTTCAAAACACACACAAAGGAGCTAAATGTGACGCACAGTAAAAACAGGAACAGTGTTTTCAAGGGATCAGAATCAGGACGAACTGCTTCCCTACAATTGTCTACCTATGCCTACCAGCCTACCTGGCTGGTACCACAGCACTTGCTAGAATCCCCTCGCAGGTGGGAAGTGTGGTGAAGGCATACTTAATTTGAATTTAAAGTGCCTGACAAGGACATCTTGAGAGGGAAGTTAGTGATCTGGTGCACTGGCTTCACGAAGGATGTGACTGGTACCATGTCTGCGAAGGCCGACAGTGGTGAAGGCTGACAATGACGCAGATGAAAGAGCAGCCATGAAAAGGATCAGTGAAAGCAACAGTAATGAGAGGGAAATACCAGAGACAGGGGCCATGGTATATTACCAGCGTTGATGAAATCCCTGAACCTTTGTCCCGTAGTGGCAACTTTTCATCTTTCCTTTCAGGTTATGTAGAGTGGCAGCAGAGATCTAGAAATGGAGAGGGAAATGGTGGTTGTGAGCAAGCAGGTAGGAAGGCACCAAGTCCTTGAGTCATGCTCTCTCATGTGGGGGGGCTGTTGGGGGTGTACAGCAGTGAGGCAGGCAGTGGTACCTACCAAAAACTCATTTCAGTGCTAGTGAGTGATTTAGATCCCAGGCAAGCACAGGTTTCTTTGTAATTATTTTTCAAATAATCTCACAAAAGAACCATATCATTTAAATGAACAACAAATTACTTCTGGTGCAGGTCAAAGAGGTACAAGCATTTCTGCTACATCCAAAATGCACCAAAACCACTGAAACTTATTGGGACAAGTTGAAGCAACCTTCAACTCCTTGCTCCATCCCACAGCTCCTGTGTAAACATGCTGGTGTGTGTGTCATTCCACCTGGGATGGAATGACAAGCCCAGTTACCTATTATGCTGCTTTCACCACGAGAAGCAGAAAAATCCTAATAACTCAGACAAGAAGCCTCATCATGTTAACCGTGGAGCTTGCTAGTCCTTGTTCTGGACTGTAACAAGTAGGTGCGACAAGAGGAGTTGGAGCTAAAGCCCTGGTGCTGCAGCTGTGTCCCTGTGCCTGCATTATCGCTGCTTCGATGCAGACGTGGAACCCCCTACCTGATAGTGTATTGTGGTGGTCAGCAAGGACAGGGTTCACAGATGGTTTGGTTACAGTACAGGACACCGGAAAGGAACTGATTTTTAGAAAGCAGAAATTCAAGGTGGGGCAAAACCATTTTCTTCTTGCCTAAACTAGCCACACATAGACTTGTCTAGATTTGAATATGGGTGGGGTATTTTTTAGAAAGTATTCAGCAAGGCAATTTTAAAACAGCTTGACTCCCGGCAAGTCAGATCTTCACACCTTTAAATTGTGTTCATTGCACATGCTTAGCTACAAACTCTGTCAGGTAAAAAACCAATAGTGTATAGTGTATTAGGGTATATTAGGCCAATATATTGTAAACTCTGAATCTCATTCTGTTTCACACGGCTTTGGCCCTCATTAATCTTATCTCATGCCTGCCTTTGAAATTAATATGTTTGCTGATGTAATTATTGCTATGTAATAAGAAATACTGCAGAAATTATTTTTATGTGCAGCCTGCAGCAAAACAGGTACAAATTTGTGGATCACACATAAGTTACAGAAAAATCTGTAGTTTGGTAGTAAACTCTGCAGATTTAAAAAGAGTTGGTTCTTCAAATCCAGCCCAGTGGGACCGAAAGCAGGATTGACTTCTGGCTGCTCTGATTCAGTGCTTCCAGGACAGTCCTTAAGAGGCATGTATTTGGGGGAACTCAACACCTAGTTTCCCAAGTTCCTAAATCTGATTTTAAGTGTGCATTAGCAAAATTAAGATGGCCTAGTCTCACAAGTGCTGTGTGAAAGCTCAGAATGAAACAGCATGTGAAGTCATAAAATAGCAAATGGCAACATTAATTTGGAAGCAAATAAAAGACAGCAATTTTTGTTTGAATTTTCTTTGTTTTAAAGCCACAGAGGGGCAAATAACACGGTTATACAAATAATGGGGGTTTTCAAGGTGCTTCTTATCAGGAGATTTTGATCAAGACTTACTGTTTGTTCTCTATATCCAAACGATAAATATTTTGCCTTTTACAAAATAATTATTTTATAACCTGAGGACTTATACCTGCAGCTACACTTGTTTTTCAGCACATTCTTCTGACATAAGAAGCACTCATGAATCACAATCTAAACTGTAATTTCATGTCCTTTTAGAAGCCACTCTAACAGAAGCGTGGCAAGTCATTGAGGTAGTTGGCAAAGCAAAGCCTGTCAGTACACTTACGTTGCAGGCATGTAACCTGTTTTCCCTTCCTCCATCTGCTGCATCAGTTTAGGGTTGGGTAGACATTAGGCAAAACAATAGCTGTTATCATCTCAGAAATATGTATAATTCCCCTTTAGCTTGCAACCTTTTCTGTCCCATACTATCATATCAAGATTTTGACATCACACATTTAAGTGCATTGCTGAATCTGAGGGAAAGGGACCTAAAACATAGCGGGAGCCACGGTTTTGCCAGGAACATGGTAGACCATGAGAAGACCATAAACAGATGGTCCATTAAATGCTTGTCCTTTATGAGGGTGGGGAATATCATTCACACACTAAAAACCATGGCCTTGGGCCACCCTCACAGCCAAGAAACCTGCACAGTAGAAGAGTGCTGCACATTTTCCAAGGTCAGACACGGAGGGTTTCTCAAACAGAGTCTGCAAACACTCAACCTGGAGGACCCTGCAAGACTGAGCTCCCCTTCCCCTCTGTAGGTAGAGCAGAGCAGTGGAGCAGGGTGTTGAAGTGCCAGTGGGGCCAGGCTTGGTTCAGTGGAGGCTGCAGGGAATAGCAGAGCTTCATGGAAGCTGTGCTGCACCAGGTTAGTGAAGCATTGCTCAGGTTACCCGAGGTTACTGCCTCTGTGCTCTGGGTGTAAGGCACAATCAGAAAATGTTTCAGTGCAAGAGGTGTCTAATGCCCATGTGCATTTCTTCTTGGAAATAATCCTCTGAGATCACTGTGGATTTTGAGTGTCACTACCATCCTTTTCTCCCCGGTGCTAGCCTCCAAATCCCTCTGTGCCCAGGTGATGCACTCAATGTAGATACTTGATGATAGAGAAAAGATGGATAGTCAAAGTGAAAACACTCCAATAATGGGATGGGAGATGAGAGAGTAAGTGGCAACAGCAGAGAAAGTTTAAGGCTTTTTCTGAGCCAGAGAGTTTCCCTTTTTAGAAGTAAAATCAGGACATGGAACAAACAAGGACAAATTGAAAGAGAAAGTATCCCCGTGTGTCTTGTTTTTTGTTTTCTCTTAGGCTCAGACTTGTACTATATTGGAGCAAAAACTCCTATTGCAGGCATCTGTTTTGAGACTGTAGAGTTATTTGTTTGGTGGTTTTGGTTTTTTTAGTCTCGTTTTCCTCCCTTTTATTTTTGCTTCTTTCTCCCCTCTAACTTTATTTTAGTAATATTTTCTCAGCTTTTGTCAGCTCTGCTCCTCTTTTATCTTTTCCTCTCCTGTCTCTGCAGGCATCTTCAGCTGCACTTGTCTGCTCAGTGCACTATCTTACAGAGATAGTAGATCCTTCAGATGACCAGTACTCAATCTTTAGAAAGATCTATTCTTTCTTTTTGTTTTCTCTCTTTTTTTTTTCCCCCACAACTTTTTGCCATCTGCAAAACTAACTGGGGAGTGGGAGAAACGCTCTCCTTCCTTCCAAGGACACAGTGCCACCTTACTTGGAAGTGGTTTTCCCTGACTTCTGCAGCTAATGGAATAATTTCCCCTCCTAGCTAAGATAAATCTCTGTCTCCCAGTGAATGAGGCATCTGTATGAGGGTTATTGGCAACCAGACACTTTATCATTCCCTCTCTCAAATAATGGGTTTAATTTTCGTGTTCATTAAGGTTGCTCAACACCTGGGAAAGTGCTGCTTTTAGGACTCTCTGGTCTCCCTGGCTGGTGTGAAAGGGATTTTGGCACAAGTGAGAATAAAGACCAATACCGTCATTACCTGCTGTTCAAAATGACTTGTTACTTACTTTTCTTTGTGATACTGGTGCTATCAGTGATATTAGAGAAGGAGGTTCTTGTCACTAGAAACAATGTACAGTGACTTGGAGGATTTCAAACTTGCATTTTTGCCTATTAGGTAGTGCATAATGCCCATTAGGTAATACAACTTGAGCCCAGTTTTAGTCTCCAAAACATTAAAAAAAAATCTTCATTTTTTAAAGATGCTGGGGGATTCATCCTCTTCAGGATTAATTTTTATTTGTAGAGCACAGATGGCCCAACCATACCACCTTCACATGGAATTAAACCAAATACCTCAATTGCAAGAATTATTTTTGCACATGCACTCATTTTCTTCTCCTTGGATATGTTCGTTTGTAGGATGTTTATGAGAAGAACTTTTGTGTGGCCTGAGCTTTGTCTGATTCAGAGATGGATAAAGCCCAGTTATCACTAAGCACTACAGAGAAGATATGATTCTATATGCCTAGTTTGTGTGGAGCACAATTTTGCTTTAAAAACAATGGTTACTTTATTTTTCAGTGTTTTCCCCTGAACAATAATTAGAGAGAAAACATCTGTATTTCTTCTTTAATTTATAAAACATTAATCCTAATCTGTGCTCAAAAATAAGTAGGTCTTTTGACTTTCAAAAAGATGACATTTTATGATCCTTCCATTGTTCCTTTTTCAGTCAAAATTTTCCCTTTAAATGACTTGCACATAAGTCATTTGCACAACACGGGCACTTCTTGACCTCATACTTTCATAATAACTATTGTAATTCACTTCAGTCATTTTCTTTTTCGGTGGGATGACATATACCTCCATTAGAGGACCTTTTAAGTCACTTCTTTTTTGGAGGAAATAAAACCAGATGTCAAGTCCAAGTAGGTTTTCTCTGTTTTAAAGTCTCCCTGCAAAAGTATCTGACCCTAAAGGCCACAAGGAGCATGAATTTGCAGATATGTGTGACTATATCTTCTCAAGGTCACAATTTTCAGTGACCAGCGTAAAGCATTGCACAATGACAAAAATTGCCAACCTTTGTTCTGGTAAGCAACCAGGTCTCAAATATGTTCCACTTACAAGCAGTTTTGTCTTCATAGAGGGTCTTCTGGAGTTTGCGATGCACTGTAGCAGATACAGAAATGCTTTAGTAGTTTAATTATGCACTCAGTAAATCTCATAACAATGGGGTCTTATATTTAATTTTATATTGTCCTTATTTTTAATAAGATGCAGAGTATTAACTTCAGATGTCAGAATTCAGGTAGTACATAGCTTTCTATTGTTTCCTCAGGCTGTCAGCAAATTTTGAAAGACATTGTGATTCATGTGCTGTTCACCTTTCCATTTTCACCTCAGAAACTGTGAGCATTGGAGACATTGTTAGTAAGGATAAGACATACTTTGAAGCAATTCTGCAGAAGTGGGTAAATCTGACAGGAGTTTCTGCAGTGGTAGTGAATTTCCAGGTATTTGTTACATACACACACACACACACACACACACACACACACACACACTCACTCTCTATCTCTTGCTCTGTGTATGTCTGTGTGTATATATATATATATATATATATATATGAATGTGTTGTAAGAGGTCCTGGATTCATTTAAAAGTATGGTATGATATAATGCTTCCACCCTTTGTCCCTTTGTTGTGATGTCTTAGAATTTAGGCATCCATTGAAACATTAATACACATTTTGCACTAGGCAATAAAAGTAATATTTTACCCCCTTCAATCTCAGTCTTTTAATTTTTTTTCTAAGTCTTTCTACACTTCTTTTGGCTTCTACTTTCAAGTTCAACCTTTTAATTTTCCCTGTGTAATGAAATTCCAATTACCAACTTTTTTCCATTTGCCAGTGTGGCTACCTCATAATTCTTCTCCTTTTCTTTCTCCCATGATCATCCCTCTCTTTTTCCATCCTGCCATTCTGAATGTAAAAGTAAAGATCCCTCCTTTGCTGCTCCAAAACTTTCAGGGAGTAAGAGTTTTGCCTGCTATTTCACCTTTGGCTACAATGGTGAAAGCTCTTCCATTGATTCAAATGATAAAAGAAGTAATACGTTTAGTATACAACTCAATTTAAGTGCAATATTTTCCTCAACAAGGCAGAAGAAAGGTGTTGGGATAAGAAAGAGAAGAGAGGATGACTGTCTTCCTGCACTTCCTTATTACAAATTCTTACATGTATACAAACCAATTACCATTTATAGCTTGCATGTGAGAACAAAAATTAGGTACATACTAAAACTTGAAAATAGATTCTTTTTGATATGAAATTATTCTTGTCATTTTAATGTTTTCTGACTAGAACTTCATACATGTGCTTTTACCAACACCATACACTGGCTGTGGGGAAAGCTTTTGCTTTTTTATGGCTTCTTACATACAGGTAAGAAGTATACTTCATCCATAATTTTGTAAAAGTGGAATCAATGTGGTAAGTATTGAAGTGAGGTCCTGTGTTTACTTTTTCCCCCAGCTCCCTAGAAAAAATATAAGCTGTAAAGGATGTAGTGTGTTCTGTCTAGAAAGATAAAACTAGTTCTCCCCTTCTAATTGCGGCTTTTGGCAGTTCACACAAGCTGAGTCTTTCACTGCAAGTACCAAAGTTAGGCTGTGTGTCCACTGCGTTTCTCCACTTACTATGCAACTCCAGTTTTCACTTAGAAGCAGCGTTAGTATCGTAAAGCTGATTACATTTGGAACAAAACTTTTGTATTGATACCATAATGCCTGATGTAAAGGCCATTTTCTATCATGTAATGAATTACTTAAGAAACTGACAGCTTTTAGCATAGGTGGTCATTAGCTGCCAAGAAATAACTGACCCAAAGCTTATTGTTTATTAGCTGTAAGTGTCCAACCAGACAGCCATTACATCAAGTATGAAATAATGTAATTCCCTTTTCTGTACCTTGAAAATTAGCAGCTGAGCTGCCTATTGCCATGGATACGGCAGCCTGCTTGCAGACTGCATGGGGAACATCCTGCGGCACTGGCCATGAGATGAATGGTCCCACCATTCACTGCCAGCTGCATCTCACTTGTCTGGGAGGCAGTGAGCACTGAAAATGTGCTTTTCCCTCCTGTTTTCAATGGTTCTGCTCTTCCAGATGCAAATGGTACTTTTAAAGCACCAGAAGGAAAGTCCTCGCACTCTTCTTGACCCTGGGTGAAATGGTCCTCATTTGAAACACATTTGGGGTATAAGTTTAGAAAAAATCCCAAACACCTTCCACAACAAGAAATGTCACTATTAAATTCAGGCAGAATCTAGATCTCATGGGGAACAATAGGGGATCCTTGAAATCAGCTGTTGTTATACCAGGTTTGGGTTTTTATATTTCCTGCTTTTAAAACAGGCTAGTTTGCTTTGTTGAGATAACTTTCAAGACTTCAGGATACATTCCCCTTGAAACTGTACAGTTAAGTTGCTCTTTCTCCTGATTCATATGATTTCTGGATAACAGAACACACTATTTCAATATTTTTGCCTAAACAAGGGGGTTCTTTAAGGGAGAGGCTGAAGAAAAAGGAATATAAGAAAGTTGGAGAGGGATTTTTTTTGAGGGCATGTAGTGGTAGGACAAAGGGGAATGGTTTTAAAATGGAAAAGGATAGATGTAGATTAGATATTAGGAAGAAATTCTTTACTGTGAGGGTGGTGAGGCACTGGAACAGGTTGCCCAGAGATGTTGTGGATGCCCCATCCCTGGAAGTGTTCAAGGCCACACTGGATGGGGCCCTGAGCAATCTGGCCTGGTGGAAGGTGCCCACGGCAGTGGCATTGGAACGAGATGATCTTTTAAGATTCCTTCCAATCAAAACCATTCTGTGGTTTTATGAAATGGGGCTGCCAGCTCTGAGATGTGCACAGGGCTTGTCTGGTACTCAGTGCTGACAGCTGGGATGTAGGTAGAGGCCAGAATTGGCCACAGGTAAGGCTGAAATGTTTCATGCATTTTCTGCACATAACAGCTAAGCAGAAAGAAAGAGCTTATTTAAGGAGTTCAAGCAGCCTACAACCAAAGCTTGCCATAAAATCAAACACCACTGCATCACCAAAGTGTGTGCCCATTACACAAAGTCAGGGTTTTCATTAACAACCCTATCAGCAAAGCCTCAATGATAAACATTTGAAAAATGGATCATGTTCAAATGTGGAGAATTTTATGATTGTACAGACTTCTGATTCAATAACTTATATTAAATTTTTCTGATATTATTTTTTTTCTGATAAATAACACAGGTATTAGAGTTGTACTTGAACATAGCTAAAGCAAAAAAAAAACAAACCAAAGAAACTTTGATTTCTCCTTAAAGCTTATGAAATTTCTGACATTTTCACCAGTTCAGAGACACTGCATGCAAATACCTGTTCTGTCATTCAGTCAGCGAGGCAAAATCCGAAATCAATCTCTTCCCTGGAATAATTGTTCAGCAAACAAGGATGCCTGTAATCCATTTTTATTATTAATATGCCAGTTAAGACTCAGGTACTGTATTTTACTTCTTATAATGAGCATGGTTTTACAATGGATGTGTGGTGTTTGCAGTACATAACACCACTGACAGATGCAGAATTCCTGTCACGTGCACCAGAGTTGGATTAAATATAAGTACATTTCTCTGGGCAATAACAGCATATATAGAGAGAAATTTGCAATGTATGCCTACTTTACTCTGTATGCACAAACCTTATTTTCCCTGCTAATTCAGGGCATGGACATATTTGTTTGTAAATAAACATGGACATGCTTATTTATCCACAAAGCTGTCTTATTGCTGTTGTATTACATCTCAGTTAGGTAAAGAAAGGTTGTTATCTGTAAGATCTACTGTGGAGATTGTTCTTGTGTGTCTCTAGTACAATAATTTTGCAATATAATTCCTAATATCTTCATATGATTTGGGATGAAGACCCTAGATTATGCACTTCAGCCCCTCATTCTTTTACACCACAGGGATGAGAGATTTTAATTTCTGTAAGAGGACTGACTTGGCTGATTCCTGTATGCATGATTTTCTTTGGTGCTAGCTGTATCCTGAGAAGAGCAAAGAGGAACAGAGAGGTCATTAAAATAAATTTCTCCACCTTCTGACTAGTTTACATTCTAGTTTTTGTGCATTGGTTGAAACTATTTTCCTGTTTCATAAAAAGATTAATTCCTAATTGCCACTGTCCTCATGAGGATGTTTTAGCAGCTGACTAAGAACAGTCTTAACAATTTTTAAATGAAGCTTTTAAGTTGCAGAACTGCCATCACCAATGAGTCATCCTCCTCACTGTACGTGGGAGAATGCTGGGTCTGGTTTGATCCTGGCTGTACAGCACTGGTGCCTGTTTGTCTTGGATGAAGCAGCAGCAGGTGTTTGTGCATGAGGACAGCCTGGGAGGGAAGCACAGAGGTTGCTTCTGGGACTTCCGCAGGACAGGCCTTCTCCTCACACTTTGGTTGCTGCTCAAGTGGTGTTCAACAGTTTCCTTCACTAGCAGATTGCAGACTGAGGTGGTATGCAGGCTCTGCCACCTTTCTTGTCCAAGATGCAGTCCTCTGAGAGCAGAAGGCACCATATATAGTCCACTGGTGGATGGATCAGTGGAAAGACCTGTGCCTCTGATGGTTTTCAGATGGAATTTTTTTTTACATGCAAAAAATTGCAGGTGGAAAAGCAAAATGAGGGTCACAAGCAAAATTTCATTATCAACCACCCAAAGGGTGGAAGTGGTAAATCTCAAGATGAAGGGATTATTAATTTTTTCATTCTTTTTTCCATGGCTTTCTATCATGGGAGAAGGTTTGCTCCCTCTTAGTCTCCAAGGCTCATTCTTGCATCTATTCCAATGAAATCTACAGAGGAAGCTCTCAGGTGCCATGTGCAAATATCTAATGGCCTTCCTAAATACAGGAAGGCATGAAGATGAAGCATGAGGCCAGTGTTTGTGTCAGAGATTTCTTCCCCAAACTTTGGTGCTGGGTTTCATGTCACATTGCCATGTTTCTCCATAGCATCTCTATATTTCCATCTTCAGAAGCGGACCTCTTACTGTAACAGTAAGCTGCACAAAACCAGATGCATGTTTTGAACTTTATGAATCTGAGCTTAAGACATGTGAAACTCCATTATTGTGAAATTGTTAAGGACAAAAACGTCCAAAAACCAACCAACCACTGAATGATCACAAGATATTGTTCTCTCACTGTAGGGAAATCTGTTTAATCTCCCATAGCAGTCTATTCACTAACTAAACACACTGCTCCAGTCACTGTGAAGAAGCAGACTGTGCATAGCCAGAAATAGCAATGGGAAAGAATGCACGTCAGGGAGCACATTCCTCTCCCTACCCTAGAGATACTGAAGAAACAGGAGAGGAAATCTCCTTCAAATTGGAACCAAGCCACCCACAGCAAAACTTTCATCAGAAAGGGGCTATTAGCAATGTCCAGTATTAGAGCTCAGCTTCTAATCTACACTAGACCTTTGTTAGGATTCACTCACAAAAAAGTTATTTAGCAGGACTACATCAAGGATATATTGAAGAAATAGTAAACTTAGCATCTCCTACAGAAAGGGCTCAATTTTTAAAGTATTAGGCTTAGCTCCTGATAGTAGGCACAGTGCAGATCCCAAAAAGCCCTTCAGACACCATCTGCCCTGTGGAGGGTGCAACCTGTCTGCTATCACTCAGAGAGAGGAGAAGGAAGAGAGACACCCTCCCCTGCAATCGAGGTTTTAGTCACAGAGACAACATCTAAGGCAGTATTGTTATAAATGGGGAAAGAAGAATGCATAAATCATTATGAAGTTTATCCAACAAAAGGCTCTTTTCCCTATCAGCAATCACTGCTGGTCCGTCCTCTCTCGTTTGTGTCACAATTTCCTCCCCTAGAGCAGAACCGCCCTCCTCCCCCCACCCCCCCCCCCCCCCCCCCCCCCCCCCCCCCCC